GCTAAAGTATCGCGTAATATCGATATACTGATGGTGTTGTCACAACAATGACTGAAATATCAAAACACAAAATTATAATCGTTTGCTCTTATTTATTTTTTCTTTAAAACTCGTTATTTCATTTTCTTTTGTTTAGAGAACAAAACCACTTGTTTGTTTTTAATTAAAATGAAAAACTAACGAAACTGATATTTAGTTACAAATTGACACAAACAACAACATCCCAATTTATTAACGTGTTTATCGTTGTAAGATTTGACCAACAACGTTGAGTTTGTGTTGTGAAGTATCGAGTTGTGGTCAAATCAAATAACGGGATCGGGTTTTTTGGAAAAGGCTGGCTAATATTCCGATAAATTCCCGATATTGTACAAAAATAATTGAACGGTATTGGTATTTTTTTTCAAAATTAAGTCTGTACTTTCGATTTTTTGTTTTTTTTGTTTTTTAGGAAAAATAAAAAATAAAAAACGGGACTTTAGGAAGTTTTAAAAATACTGCCGTACAGACTTTTGAACTACAGTTTATAATTAAAAAATTTAAATAAAGTTAAACAACAATAATATAACAACTTTAATATACATTATTATTATTATTATTATTATTTTAAATAATAATTAAATATTCATATGTTGTCGTTTAAATCTCATAAACAGTGTTTGCCTTGTCAATTTTAATTTAAAAAACTTTAATAAGACTGACGCAAATAATCAATACATTTAATACACAATATTGGTTGTAAAAATTTCAACAAAACCTATAATAAATAGTTAATTTTTTATAATGTATATTAAATGAAAAATTTTAAAGTGTATTTTTTGTTTTAACTTTCTTATCAACCTTTTTTTCAAAACAAGATATAAAATGTTTGTTATATTTTATTGTTTGGATATGATTGATTATTAATTTGTTGTGTTGTTTATTTGATTGTCATTCTAATATATTATAACTTACGATTTTTTAAAATAACAATAAACATAAAAAATAATAAAATGTCTATTTTTTTAATTTATGAAATAAACTTCAATTAAATCAAATCAACACAACATGTATTATATGATAAAGTTATTATATATCATTAATATAACAACAATTATTGTTACAGTAAAACCTCATAAGAGTGGGCGGGTGTGGTAATTATGTTCTCTCAAGAGCGGGCATTTTTAGCCAATCATTAATTACCACTCGATAGAGAACTCTATTTTTGGTTTAAAAAATGCTCGCTCTTGAGAGAACCCGCTCTTCAGAGGTACCGCTCTTGGGTGGTTTTACTGTATTTGTAATTAAAAACCATTACACATTTACTATAAAATAATGTTAAATATTTTATTTGCTCTTTTTAACGTTATATTTGATAAATTACAATACAAACTGAAAGCATACATTTTTAAAAAATAATAAACTTTAAAACAATTTCAAACTAAGTAAGTTATACATAAAATGGTATTATCTATCGTTTATGACAATTTTAATGTCGATATTTAAAACATAATAACATAAACAAATAGCTAATAGCCAAACAAACAACACAAACAATCGAGAGACTCTATTGTACGAGAAATGATATCATAATACTGATTTGGAAAAATTTTAATTAGTTTTAAAATGTTATAACCGATGTTAATGTTTATCATAAAGACGCCAGTGCTGTTTTGAATTATATTAAAGATTATTTTCAATACAAATAATGAACATAAGCAAAATGTCCAAAAATAGACATAAAATAGTATATAAGCATCAATTCACTAATTCCATTTTTTTTTATTTAAATGGTAATAGAAAAACAAAATTGTAATTTAGAAATTTATTTTTGTCGGCACTTTAACGCAAAAAGACTTAATTGACTACAAATGATACAACTAAGAATTTTTCACGTTAGAAGGTTTTAAAGATATAAACAAAATAAACAAAAAAATAATTATTATTATCACCTTTAATGACGTTGTACGAAATTCAATTTATATAAAATTGATAAATCTCGAGTTTTTTTAAATTTTTATCCATTTTTATAAATTTATATTAAATGCATTACATTACACAATCTATAAAGCAAAATCATCTGATATTTAAATTAATATCTCTATAATAAAAGGTCAATTAATAATTAATTGTGTAACTTTAAGTGTAAAAATAAATATTTTTGAAGAATTTTTAGTTGTTCTGACATTTATTATGTTAATATATAAGTTTTCAATTTGTTATTATCATAAATTATAAAATATTGTTAAAATGTTGAATTTTTTCATACTGATGATAGATAAAAATTTCAAATTAATAACTGTTTTATTTAATATTTGAATATTTTAATGATATTAATGTGTAGTAATGTATTATAAAAATATAATATATTGTGAAGTTTTTTGTTTTATATTAACAATTTTATTATTTTTGTATTGTAATTTCATTGTCAAATACTTTAAAAACAAAAAAAACAATTATTTATATGATTTTATCTCAAAAAAATTTATAATAAACTTCAAAAACGTGTATTTTCAATATTTTTTTAATTGTAATTTATAACATTTTTGTATTATTAAAATATAATTTTAATTATTATTTGTTTAATACAATTAAAATTTAAGAATTAATAAATAATTTGTTTAATTGTTTTTTATAGAATTTAATATTTTATTTTATTATAAATAATTAAAAAGAATAAAAATCAGTGAATTAAAAATACTGATTGAGACTTTGATGAAAAGTTTACTCTTTCAATAGCGTTTTTTGTTGGCATCATCTGTTTTTAAAATTGTGTTATAAAGTCGAAATATCTTTCAACAAATATTGTTGTTGGAGAAACAGTCAATGTTATCTGAACAACTTGAACCAAATTATTAAGTTGATTGTTTTCAAGTATTTCGTACACATCCAAAAGACTTACTTTTTCTTTTCTTCCAACAAAAGTTTCCAAAGTTTCATCTTATGATGTACGAGGCAATTTTGATCCTGCGTTTTTTTGAATAATATCTTTTTCTATATCATCAAGACGGTCCAAACAAAATTTTAATATTTTAACTTCTTCAGAAACACATAAAAAATATCTGGGAATATATTGTTGATTGTATGATGGTATGTTCATTAAAACACTTGGTATATAAAACAACTCAAGTAATTCGTCCAAGTGATTTTGAATATCAAGACGTGGTTCTACACCTTCCTTTAATGAACAATTTGAATAATTAAAGAATTGTTCAACACAATCAACTTCTCCAGAGCTTCCAATGTACATAAAACGAACTTCGAAATACAATGTTGCTCTTACAAGTGTAGTTCTTAAACAATCGACATCAATAATAGAATCAGAACGAACAAACGGAGATGCGGTGTATTTGTTATTGGAGTTGTTGTCAATTCTTTCAACCAATATATGCATCATTCTTTTGAAATTACAAATGCGAGTCCAATATACTGGAAGAGTAGCATCTTCTGCTTGCAGAGAAACACAG